CATAACCAGTGGTCCGACTCCGGATTCTGTAATGATCGAACATCTGTAAAGTCTGACGTTCTTCCACCGAGCCAGATTGAGTATGGCTGGCCGAAGACGGCCGGTAAGTCAGAAATGGACATTCCAGCACTCCTTGTCTTTGTCGGTACTCTTTCGTGTATCAACAGCAGTCGCCATGCGACAGTCTGCAAGAGCTCTAGATTTGGTTCCAGGGCGCGACGCGCCAATATGTCTCGTAACCACATCGGCAAAGGTCCTCTTACCATCGCTAATATTTCGAGTAACAACAGACATGACATCAGGTCGTGTTCCAGTGGCAGAGTGGTGAATTAAACGTTCAGTAGCTAATGAAACACGGATTTAATATAAGGTCACACAAGCCGGCGGTCTGGTGGGATTGGCCGAGGACAGTTAATTAGCCATAAACGGCCATCCCAGTCAGTAATTAATCATAGCTATCACTTATTATAAGACCTGCAGGATGCATTCTTATGGTACTTGACGCATATATGGTCACTGCAGACCATCTGCCACCCTCCGGATCATTTTTTCACTCCACGAAAAGACAGGGTCCGGTCACGCAAACTGGTTGCTTCAGCAACCAAAACTGATCGAACATCAATAAAAAGCGACCAGCAGAACTTAGTAGTTTCTGAATAAAGTAAGGAAGGTCATAAATGAGGATTTTTATAACACATCACTAAGCTCCTCACGTCCTTACCTCATGTTACAACACAGTGGGTAGATGCAAAAGAAGAAAAGCGTGTTTGTGGAGCAACCACTCTATTCTCACAGCCTGAGAAGATGCGACTCTTAGTTCCTCAAAGGATGTCTTATTTATTTGGGGCCTTAGCGCTCTGGAACATTCCGGCGTATGGAATGCCGGTCGTGGAGTGGACACTTGGTCAGATGTGGTTATGCAACCCCCCCTGATGTAAACAAACCCCAGCCACCTGTAATACGGGACCGCTGGTAGTGGGGATTTCTACGGGTGGGGCCGGGAAATGCACAGGCGAGGAGGTCATGTAGTTGTATGCAAAGGGAAAGCTACTGGGAATGCTCGATTGCACTTTGAATGGTTGAAAAATAGTAGCTCTAACCCCTCACCCTAACCGCTAACCTTAACCCCGACCCCAACAGTATTGTGCCCATCAGGTGGGCTACATAACCACAACTTACTGCCGCTTCTTGCGTGAGAATCTCGTTTCGGGAAAATCCCCAATTTTCGACAGGACATTGATTGGGCCGCACTCGAAAGCAAAGGCATCACACGTGCTTGATACCGCTGTATACTCTGATTTGTTGCCTACTTTTACGCGTGCAGCTTACTGCCAGCTTGGCTCGCTATTCCGTGAGCGCTCAAGTCTTTCTTTCGCCCCAGGCCGTGACTTCACTTCGCTTCTGCTTTCCATAACACCTCCCGTTTCGGAAGGTTTGACCTCGTACCTATTCTCTCTCGCGTTTAATAGCGGTTTCCTTGATGGTTGTGTTCTTCTGTGGCGAACACGAACGGCAGATGGTGTTAGCTGGCTGTCTGCTTTCTAGGTGGGAAACTCAAAGACATCACATAGCGGGTTCCAGCGTTACTTGGCCGTCTGCGGTGAATCCATGCCTGAGCTGGTTCGCATGTCTTTGAGTCTACTGTTGTCTCAACCTCGAACACAACACTTATGGTTTCCTTAATATACCCTCTCCCGAGAGCTTTCCTCTGTCTTCGTAATTTTAGCAAATATGTCACCTTCCGAAAAGTTATATTTTTTCGGTTCGGAAATTTGGACTTACAGTTTTGGGTATCGTAGTGGTATATATGTCAGATTAAGAAACTCTCGGCTGGTATTTGATTGCACAGATCACTTTTCGGGGTCGTCCTGCATGTAAGAAGGAACGTTTTGAGGTAGTCATTTTAAAGCCTGTGTTCCGCATTTTCTTCCTTGCCCTCTTTAAATTATCAACGAAGCGTTCTCCCTGGCCGTTGGATTGGGGATTAAACGGTGTCGACGTCCTATGTCAGTTCTCCCATTCCCGACACAATTCGCTGGAACAGTGATAATGTAAACTGGGTACTGATATTCTTCACAGTCTCCATGAAGATACCTTAACTTAGGATGAGTTCTTCGATTTTTTGCTCTGATATCAGCAGTCGCTGCCACTTTCAAAACTTCTAGCCACTTTGACCATGCGTCGGCTTCGGGTGAAGAACGGTTCAGCAAAGTCCATGTGGACTCTACGTTGCGGTCTCGTCACATCCGGACATGTTACTGGAGGTAATTTTGATGGGCTCTTAGACTCATGTTCACACGGGTAGCAGCTTCAAAAGAAGGCCTCCACGTCGTCATCAATTCCCGGCCAATATACATACCTTTGGGTCGGCTGTTTTATGCAGGTCAGATCCTGCTGTCTGGCATACAGCTCCTCAAAACTTGTTGCTGATATTTGCTTGAAATCGCTACTCAACCATCATACAATATATAGTCTGCCGTGGTGCACGACTACTCCTTTCTGGTCGTAAAGGACTTTAAAAGTGCATGTACCGTATCTTCATCGGGCCAACCGTTCCGAATAAATCCCTTGACCTGGCGAAACATGGGGTTTTGCTGCAGTGGCGGTCCTATTATGTTCGGCTGAGATGGCAAACTGCCGAACGATACATCGAAGATTGTATCAGCGCGCTTGCGATATCCACGTCTTCTTGGTTTTCTTCGTCTGCATTCAGTCTAAGACGTCCCGGGCTACGAATTTCTGAGTGGATACATGCTGGATTCGTTGTCAATAGCTCCATCGTCATATCCTCTTGTCCACATAATGCGCACTCCACGATTTGTGACCAGCTGATGATCCGTGTGAATGACAAAGTGTCTGCCACAAACGGACTGGTGGAACTTCTGTACTGCTTAGGGCAACGGTAGGGCGTGGGACCCTCATCAACTTGACTTAGCCTGTGGACCGTGTCATACGTAGAATGGTGGCGGAGGGGGTTCTACGGGTGGGGCATCACGCAGGACGGGGAGCAGGACGAATGCAAGAAAACACGGAACATAAGTGAAGTTCTGCCGAAAGTATTATCTTACGCTGTCATGTGGCACAAAAGTGAGCACGATAATTAAAAAATAAACAAAAATCAACTTTCAAAAATAATGGGATTTAAATGAACCGCCGCTGGTAAGTTTGCATTTGGTCAGGAAGGTGAAGAAATTCCAGTCACTGGGAACAGTGAATAATAAGTCATGTTTACAGTCACACCGAATTTTAGTGTACATGTTGGAGTTGCCAGCCACGTGGGGTCCTACACCCTACCGTTACCCTGCTTAGATTATTGTCGAGGTCTTTATTCGATCTAGTTGTAATTTCGCTCTGCCTGTTTGAATGATCACGCGGCATACACCAAGGGCAAAGTGTTACCGTCCGAACCCTTCTGAAGGAGAACGTCACTTAACCCATAATCAGCCGCATCCTTCTGAACTACCATTTTAAGCTGTGTCAGAATGTAAGAGTACAGTTGAATTGCTAGCATTCGCCTTTATCTTGTCGAACGCATCAGGGTTAGGGCCACAGAAATGTGGTGCACAGGCGGTAGCGGGCAAGAATAATCTTCAAAAGCATTGCTCAACCCGGTGGAGTAGTCTGCACACAGCCTCATTCTATCGATAGGTTTCTTTACCGCCACAATCGGGTCTGTCTACATCCTTTTTGGACACAACTGCTTGGCTCGACAGTATTCTGCTTTGTGACCGATTTGAGATCATTTCGAACACTTTTTAATGCGATATGGACAATCGGACAAAAAAAGCTATCCAACACACTCCCAACAAACTGTTTTTGGTTTCTGTGGCAAACTTTAGGTCTCTCTCATTTTACGCGTTATTTTTTCATACAAAGGCACAGATTGGCCGTTTGTGTCACCGATCAGCCTAGTGTCGTTTTGGATATTTATGACCTGGACGAACTCCTCTGTTAGTTCTCATACCGGCGTGTCAGCTCTCTTATATAACTGAGAGAGTAAACACTTGCGTAAGTTACCGTCCTCCGACAACGTTAATGATTTGATGAAAAAGAGATTCTTTACCGGCTGACTAGCGGCTTGATGGTATGTGTCGTTCAGTCGGCCAGTTAGGTCAAAATAATCATCTTGAAGCTGCCTTTCTATGTTAAAGCACTCATTGTTCAGGTTGGATAGAGACTTTGGAAAACTGAGCAATGACTCCAACTTCTTAACTGTATCTTTTAATGAAATATCAATCGACTTCTTTGGTAAAACGGACTTTAAATACCGTTCGTATTCGCTCGAGATTGGTTTCAAAAGGAGCACTTCTGTCTCCTTTTTCTCTTCCGATTTTGGGCCATCGTCTTCAAATGGTAGTGCATACTTTTGGTACCGCACTTCAAAACTGATGCCGCCGACCGGATAGCACGTGAATTCCGTGATCCGGTCATTGAGCTCTTTTCGTTTGTGCTAGCCAATCGGAGTCCAGTGTCGATGCATTTCCGCAAGCAAAGAAACAAAGCTGCCCTGTTTTTTTACCAGGTAGGAGTTACATTTGTTCTGCCCTATTCATAAGTCTGGACATCTGAGTCGCCAGGTAGTATAGCCCGATGGATAGAGAGACGGGAAGGAAAGTGTGTTCCAGGAACAACCACTACATGTTCACGGGCTACGAACACGTCAAAAGACGCCTTATGTCACGAATGGAAGAGAATATGCGCATTCCAGGTTCTTGTTTAAAAGAAGACGAAGGCACGGTCGCTGGGACAGTAGATTTATGTGCCTGAGCTTTCGAAGTCGAACTGGAGTTCATCATCAGAGACTGCTTGAGTGCAGCAACTTGTGAACATTTATGTCGCTGTTCCTTGCGAGGAAGGAGTACGTCCGTGGCTAGGTAAGGTTTGTGCCGCCTGGTCCACGATGGTCCCCCGGCGTGGTGACGCCGTTTGCACTTCGCGACGGTGTGAGCTGCGCCACCTGACTGCGTGGGCGGAGCGCGTGATAACACGCAGGCAAATCGATGCGTCTGTCGATAGAGCCGGCGTCCGATACCCACGCCTCCAACCGTTTTCGCCCTGTCTCGCGCGAAAATCCGCGTGTTGGCAAAGTCGAACTCATGACCTTCCCCCAGCGTGTGAGTGGCGACTTGAGATAGTGGGTCGCCTCTTCGAACGACCCGTTGGTGCTCAAGTATTCGTGAGCTGAGACGTCGTTCTGTCTGACCTGTGTAGCGGCAAGGGCAGTTTTGACACGGGATTTGATAGACTACGCCCGACTGTTCACCTGCGTCCAGCCGATCCTTCATTTTCATGATCCTGCTACGCATGGTGGCCGCCGGATGATGAGCGATGCCCACGCCTAGCTCTGACGCAATGCGTTCTGTAGCCTCGGACACATTCTTTACGTACGGTAGGGAGTGCCAAATTGTTGGTGTCTCCCTTCCGTTTGTCCGTCGTGGGCGCGTGCGTATGCAGCGACTGCTAAAACTATTTGGGTAGCCGTTCTTTGTCAATTTGTCCCGGAGATGCCGTAGTTCTTGCATTCTTTCTTCGGCCTCGCTACATTGCGTTTTTACCCGGTCGAAAAGCGCCCTCACACGGCCCCGTTTGTGCACCAATGGGTGGTTGCTATGATAGCTGAGGACCTGGGTTGTATTGGTCGCCTTTCTGTAGACTATAGTGCTGAGTTCACCGTCAGGTGTGCGCGTGACGGGCACGTCCAGGAAGGATAGCTTCTCGTCCTCCTCATCTTCTCTTGTAAACTGAATGTTGGGGAATATGCTGTTAAGTAAGTCTTGAAAACCCGATAGCTTATCCTTTTCAGTAATGACGAATGTATCCTCCACGTATCGACGCCAAAACGCAGGTTTGTAGTGGCTGAAAGCAACCTTTTCCAGCTCTTGTAGGACCAGTTCCGCAACTAGGCTGGATATTGGAGAACCCATGGGCGTTCTTTTGATTTGTTCCTGTGTTCTTCCATCGAAGGTGAAAAGGTTCGTTGGCGTCACTACGCCGGGGACCATCGTGGACCAGGCGGCACAAACCTTACCTAGCCACGGATGTACTCTCTCCTCGCAAGGAACAGCGACATAAATGGTCACAAGTTGCTGCACTCAAGCAGTCTCTGATGATGAACTCCAGTTCGACTTCGAAAGCTCAGGCACATAAATCTACTGTCCCAGTGATCGTGCCTTCGTCTTCTTCTAGACGCCTTATCTGTTCGGGGCGCTAGACGTTATAGAACCTTCCGTCAACCGTGGATTGGCCGCTTCTTGCGTGAGAATCTCGTTTCGGAAAAAAGTCTCGAATGTTCGACAGGACATGAGTTGAGCCACACTCGAGAGCAAGGCGCGACATGTGTTCTATGCTGCAATACACGCCGGCTCGCTGCCTAATTTCACGCGGCTGGGCCTGCTGTCTCGTGAGTGCTCATGTCTTTCTTTCGGCGTGTAGGGGTGTCCAGCGTTGGGTTAACGTGATAGTCGTAATGGTCGCTCACTTGCTCGCAGGTGAGACTACGCCTAGCGTCCATTTGCTGGCACCCAACTCTCACGTGTGGCTCCACGTAGCTGGGCTCTGCTCAGCGGCCACACCCCGGGCAACCGCCTCGGCGGGCGGGCTAAACCAGGTGAGGGCGCTGTGCGCTTGTGCCGCGTGCACAGTGTACTGCGGACTCCGCTGGATGGATGGTCGGATGAAACAATGCGCCGGCATCGTCAAGATGAGGCTCTGCCTGGTACGCCGTTGGATAACTGCTGACGGGACGGGTCTCCGCATCGCCTTCGCTGAGACGCGCCCACCCTCGCCGACGGAGACCGCGGACTCACGGCATATGCGGTCGTTCTCCACAACAAACATAAAAGTCGTGGCCCCATAGTGGGATTCGGTCGCGCCAACCAGGCACATGGGCAGCCCCATTCAGGGGCGGCACTGCCTGCCCCACGAGGGGAAGGGCCTAGAAAAGGTGGCCTAAAAAATGCTGGGCACCACGCCGTCTGTAGGCTAGCCAAGGCCGCAGATGTCATCAACACGGTCGAAACAATCAAAATCGAAACAACAACAATACCAATTACAACAACAACAACAACCATACTCATTCTCCTCATTCTAACTCTTCTTCCTCTTCCCCCGTCTATTCTTCTGCCTATTCTTCTCCTTCGTCACCTTTTTCTCCATCTCCTTCCCGCCGCCCCACTCGTTGTCCCCAGACTGGCAGGGTGAGCCCGCTCACTCTGGCAGCCTGGAATGTTCGTTCGCTTTTAGACAATCCGAGGAGCAACCGACCGGGACGGAGTACGGCTCTAGTGGCACGAGAACTGGCACGCTACAAGGTGGACATCGCCGCACTCAGCGAGACCCGATTCTCCGAACAAGGCCAACTGCAGGAAGTGGGTGCCGGCTACACCTTCTTCTGGAGTGGTCGACCCAAGGCAGAGCGACGAGACGCGGGTGTCGCCTTCGCCATCCTGAACGACATCGTGGGACAACTGCTCAGTCTGCCGCAGGGCATCAACGATCGCCTGATGAGTCTCCGCCTGCCTCTCTGGGGAGGCAAATTCGCCACCATCATCAGCACCTACGCTCCGCCGATGAGCAGCCCCGACGCCGCCGCAAGGAACAAATTCTACGAGGACCTGCATGCTCTCTTGGCGACTGTGCCGAAGGCGGACAAGTTGATTGTCCTTGGTGACTTCAACACCCGCGTCCGCACAGACCATACTGCCTGGAGAGGAGTGTTCGGTCCCCACGGTCTCTGCGGCTCAAACGACAATGGTCTGCTGCTTCTCCGCACCTGCGCAGAACACCGCCTCATCGTGACGAACACGTTCTTCTGTCTGCCGGAGCGAGAGAAGGCCACTTGGAGGCATCCTCGGTCGCGTCAGTGGCACCTGCTGGACTATGTCCTCGTCCGGAGGCGAGACCAGCGGGATCTGCTGGTGACGAAGGCGATCGAGGGCGCTGACGGGTGGACCGACCATCGCCTCTTCATCTCGAAGATGCGTATTCACCTACAGCCTCGCAGGAGACCACAAGGTAAGCGACCCCCAGGTAAGCTGAATGTTGCCTTGATGTATTTGCCCGCTCACCGCCTTCATTTCAGCAATGAGCTAGCTCAACGGCTAGACAACCTTCCAATCGCTGCCGTCCACGACGGTGCCACCGCCACTGCAGAGAACGCCTGCGTTGAGAACCGTTGGTGTCAACTGCGAGACACGGTCCAGTCGACGGCGCTCGCCGTCCTCGGCCGCGCTCCGCGCCAACACCAGGACTGGTTCGACGACAACGACGCCGCCATTAGAAATCTGCTTGCTGAGAAGAACCGCCTACACAAAGTCTACGCAGATCACCCCAATGAGGACAACAAAGCTGCTTTCTACCGCAGCCGCCGCCAGCTTCAGCAACGACTGCGCGAGATGCAGGACGCCTGGAGTGCTCGCAAAGCTGAGGAGATCCAGGGCTACGCGGACGGCAACGAATGAAAGAACTTCTTCTCCGCGATCAAAGCTGTCTACGGTCCGCCGACGAAAAACACTGCTTCTCTCCTCAGCGCCGACGGCAACACTCTCCTGACTGGGGAGACGCAAATCCTACAGCGATGGGCCGAGCATTTTCAAGGCGTTCTCAACCGCCCCTCCGTCATCTCCGACGCCACCATCGAGCGTTTGCCGCAAATGGAGACCAACGTGAACCTCGACCTCCCGCCATCTCCCCAGGAGACCTTCAGGGCCGTGCAGCAGCTCTCCAGCGGGAAAGCACCCGGATCGGACGCAATCCCTGCTGAGGTCTACAAACACGGAGGTCCCCAATTGATGGATCACCTGGCTGCGCTCTTCCAAAAGATGTGGCGTCAAGATGAAGTCCCGCAAGATTTCAAAGACGCAGCCATCGTGCATCTCTATAAGCTCAAAGGCAATCGCCAAGTCTGCGACAATCACCGTGGCATCTCCCTGCCGAACATCGCCGGGAACGTCTTTGCCCACATCCTTCTCAACCGCCTCAATAACCATCTGGAACAGGGCCTTCTACCGGAAAACCAATGCGGTTTCCGTCGTCATCGTGGGACCACGGATATGATCTTCGCCGCCCGTCAACTTCAGGAGAAGTGTCAGGAGTTGCGGACCCACCTGTACTCTACCTTCGTGGACGAAACGCGACGAACGCCCCGGGAACCGCATCGCCTACAGGACGGACGGTCGTCTGCTGAATCAACGGCGGATGCACTTCCAATCGCGCGTATCCACAAGCACCGTTCACGAACTCCTCTTCGCCGACGACTGCGCCCTGAACAGCACCTCGGAAGAGGAGATGCAACGGAGCATGGACCTGTTCTCCGCCGCCTGCGAGAACTTCGGTCTGGTCATTAACACGCAGAAGACGGTGGTGATGCACCAACCGCCACCCCACTCAGTCACAGCCCCCAACGCGCCGCCGCAAATCAGCGTGAACGGAACCGAAATGCAAGTGGTGGAGAACTTCCCGTACCTGGGCAGTACTCTCTTCCGCAACACCAAGATCGACGACGAAGTCGCCAACAGGATCTCGAAAGCCAGTCAAGCCTTCGGCCGCCTCTAAAGCACAGTTTGGAATCGTCACGGACTTCAACTGAGCACGAAGCTGAAGATTTACAATGCCGTCATCCTGCCGACACTACTGTATGGAGCGGAGACCTGGACGGTGTACACAAAGCAGGCACGCCGTCTGAACCACTTCCACCTCAGTTGTCTTCGTCGCATTCTGAGGCTGAACTGGCAGGATCGAATCCCCGACACTGATGTGCTGGAACGGACGGGAATCCTCAGCATCTACGCCATACTGAGGCAAATGCAGCTGCGCTGGAGAGGCCACCTGGTGCGCATGGACGACGAGCGACTACCCAAACGACTCTTCTACGGAGACGTTGCGGCGGGTTCTCGCCGTCAAGGAGGCCAGATTCGCCGTTACAAGGATACCCTGAAGTCCTCCCTGTAACGCCTGCAAATCAACCCCACCAACTGGGAGGAGCTCGCACTCGGTCGACCGACCTGGAGGAGGACAGTGAAGACAGGCGCTGCGATCTACGAAGCCAACCGCATAGCTGCCGACAAAGCGAAACGCGAAGCCCGCAAATCACAACTTCGCCCAGTACACAACGCCGCCGCACAACCGCTTCCAACGTGTCCTCGATGTCAACGGACATTCCGTGCTCGAATTGGACTTGTTGGACATCTTCGGATCAATCGCGCCTCTCGAACTGCACCAACCATCGTCCCCCTGCAGGCCTCTTGCTCCTCTCCGCCGCCAACTAACTCTGACAATTTTTCTGACCCACCACTTCCTTCCTCCTCCTCCTCCTCCTACTCCTCCTCCACTGCTCCAACGACGGCCGCTCAGGCGACTGTCCCGCGCGCAACAGCCGATACCACCACAACCACCTCCCCCGACCCCAGCGATGAGGATCAGGACTACACCTGCCCTCACTGTGACCACACCTTCACCTCACACATCGGCCTGGTCGATCACTTGCGAATCTATCGCACAGAGACTGGCGAACCAGTGCGTGAAGCACCAACCTACACCCACCGCACCCGCCTCCACTGCCCACTCCTCGCACCTTCAGGCATCGCATGGGTCTATTCGGCCAAATGCGCATCCACGAGAGCGGAATTGACCGCAACTCCGACACACCCACCACATCCAGCACATCCATCACGCCCAGTCCCACCCTCGCTCCATGGCTCTGCGCGCCCATCACCACCACCACCATCACCGCGTCCTCCGTAGCTGACACTGCCGCCGCCGCCGCCGACTTCACCTGCCCACACTGTTCACGCACATTCACCCCACGCATCGGCCTGGTCGGTCACTTGCGAGTCCATCGCACAGAGACTGGCGAACCAGTGCCTGGAGCACCAACGTACACCCACCACGCTCGTCTCAACTGCCCACACTGCCCTCGCACCTTCAGGCGTCGCATGGGCCCATTCGGCCACATGCGCATCCACGACGACCTGCGGTAGACGACCGCCGGCCACACCACACATTCACTCACTCCCTACCTTCCTCCTCCACCTCCACCGCCTTCACCCCACCACACATCAACACTCACCCACCGCAAGCACCAAACTGCCACCTACCACGTAAGTGGGAAGTGTGCATCTCGACTCGGTCCCAATACGGCTTCGGCTGCAGGGGTGACTTGAGTCCGAACCTATCCCGACACGTCAAGCGTCGTGGATAGGAAGGTTGCTGATTGACGCCCGTTCTCGGTTCACGCAGCTCGTCGCGTTGTGTGTGTGTTGTGTGGAGTGGCGGACTGGTGGGCTGGGGACGGGCTGAAACAGCACCTTCCACGGCACCCTAACGCAAGTGAGGGACACGCCGTTCAACCCCCGTTTTGTGGAATCCTGGTGTTTGTGTGCATGGGGGGGCAGGTCGTGCCGTGGCGCGCGCAGTCATGGTCAGTCGACCATGACAGCCACCGCACCCATTCCCCACTCCAGTTTGCTGACCGGCTCGGACAGCGGCTGGGGTGTGGGAGTGGGAAGGGAGAGTGAGGTCGACGACTCAGCGCACTTTCTCCTCACGATAAACAATCTGACGCGCTTGAAGCTATCACGGTGCGCTAAAAGCCGTGGCTTGGAAGGTCGCCAACTGACGGGGTAACTTGGACATCCTCCTTAACTGGAAACGGTCTGAGAGTCAGGCTGCAATGGTTCCTTTTTAATGTGGCCTTTATGGCATTCCCACCACAGCGTGGGATCCGAGCCAGGCGTTGGCGACACGCCCAGGTGCGGCTTCGGCCGTGCCAGCCTCCAAATCTCTGTTGTGTTGGTTGAAATTATGGTTATTTGTTGTGTGGGCCAGGGGGTGTGGTGGAACGCCAAGGTGAGGATCCGTCCGAGCCATCCACCTGCGGCCTCCCTCGTCTCCGGTCTTCTTGACTCTATCTTGACACCGGACCCAGGCGGGGGAGGAGGAGAGAGTATAGGTAGATGCAGCGCAAGTCACCGTCCCTGCCCCCACCGTTGCAGCTGCAGCTGTGGGGCATACGGTGGACATCATCGAAATCGATGGTCGAACTGTCGATGTCTTTCTTTCTCTCTAGGCCGTGACTTCACACCGCTTGCGCTCCCAATAAAACCCCAGGTCTCTGCAGTTGAAACATTTGGTGGTTTTTGCATGTAGACAAAACTAAAAACGGCGCTCAGTCCACAATTTAAGCTCTCAGGGAGCTTGCGAAGTACTTCTTCGGGATGTGCACATTCAGTTGACTAAATACGATCAAATCAAGGATATAAATTGGCCTAAGCAGTCTCGGGACCTATTGCTTGATTCTCCTCCTAATGCTCCGAAGAGGAATACTTCAAGTGGTCAAACTCAAATTTGCTGCACAGCACGCTAATAACAACTTAGTCCTTATCGATAATGTATGCATTGGGTACGGCTAGAAGCCGTTTTATTCAACTATCTTGGGTCTGCAAACCACGGCTAAGAAAATGCAGGACCACTTCCATTTCTATGTGTTCTTGTCCTTCGCCGTATTGACGGCCAACTGGAAACAATAGTCTGAGTCTGTTGTGTATGGTAATTTACAACATTAATCACCCACTGCATCACGAACCGAGTTGTATATGCATGTTCAGTAGAAAATAAAAAAAGTTTACACAATCTGCATGTCGCCAAGCAAGGCAAAATCAAACGCTACCGGTAGGTTACCCAGGACAAACGGTTGTCGCAAGATATTCGTTAAAATATGTCAAAACAAGCAGTTTCACCGACTAAAATCTATCGGGACGTCCTCTGCATGAAATGCGCCTCCAACGCCGTGTGTAATAGCACCGAGCCACTCGCAATTGACGCCCGCAAGACCTGACTCAACACTGTTTTATTATACCATGCAACCAAAACCCCCGCCCCAACAGAGAGAAGTCAGTTTTCTCCGCCGACTCCATTAGGCTTCTGAGCCGGAAGATATTATGAAGAAAAACCAAATAGAAGCAGCAGATACTGGGTACTGGCTATTCTTGGAGTTCCCCGCACGAACCCGCCTCTTGGAAACAACTCAATTTGTTAGCGTGCGCCCTGTCCTCTCTAGTTCCCATTGCCGCCTAATTCATCCTCTCAGGGCTCCGAAAAGACTAAGTCCCTCTCCCATTAGCGTGTCCTCTAGCGCCTACTGCAAACCTATATGTGATCTGATGGTCAAGGTTGTTAAGGTACTTCAACACTTTATCCGCTGTAGGTGAAATAGACCTGCCTGCCGACTCCGTTGACTGGTCTATCTCGCAAAAAGGCCACCGAAATTCTGAAACTTGTTTTCAATTGAAAACGATCACTCAGGCTGGGTTGTTGTGTTGATTGTCATGTAGCTTAATCCCGAAATACTTCAGTCAAGGCAGGATACCGGTATTTCAGCGTGTTTCTCTCTGATCGCCCACATAAGTCACTCTTGGTAAAAATGACCACTTAATTCGCATGCGTTTTTCCGTCGGCTTCAGGTGTCAGCTTGAATGCAAGCATATTTTACATAAAATATGTACTAAAGTATTCGTTTTCGTACTCATTTGGTAGCCAATTACGTATTTGTCAAACTTTATACGTGAAAGCGGGACATCTTTCAGTTTAGAAATTTGCAATTATAAGACTTAGGAGACTTGGAAATGCACATCCGCGCATCATCGTATCTACTCGTTAATTAATCTTCATTATGAAGTATACCACATGGTCAACAGTCGTTGCCAAATTATATGAGCGTAGAGAAGTTAAAGATTTTTCTTACACATGTAGTTTGGTAATGCTTTTTTCGAGTATAAAATCTTAAAAATATGTAATTTTCTACCAAAGATGTTCAGTAAAAAAGATGGTTTATGTATATTTTCTGCAGGATATATGGAAATTTATTTGACCATCGGAAATCTGCGGAAGAATGCATTCCACCTAAGTTGGCACTTTTTCCTAATGGGGTTTTTGCGGATGACCACAAAAGAAACTCAGGCAGAAGCCGATATCCGAGTTGTGGCTGAGAAATGCTGGGATTATGCCGCACAATGCTCTATTTTGCGACACCGCCTACGTAATCCTTTCTAATCGAAAGCGGATTTTGGTCAACACTTCATGCGACCGGCCAGATATTACCCTTTGTTGAAGTCGGCTTCGCGGATTCTGTTGATGGAAAGTAGTTAAGGCGAGTACATACCACTTATTGCTGCCATTTATGAGACCGGTGGAGATAGACTATGGTAAGACCGGGGGTCTTATAGTGTTCTTTGTTGGCGCTAATGATTCCCGACTGAGGCAGAAAGCCCACGTCAGAGCGGAACCACATCTCTTCAAGTCATACTTTGCAGCGCACATTTAGTTACTTCAACACGGATCCCTGAAATCTTGGCAGTGTGCGGCATAGACCTTGGCTTCACAGAGGGCTAAGAGAGTCCTCAGACTAAGCTAGCCAGCTAGCAGGATTGTAATGGCTTTCATTTTCTTGCACTCTGCCTCTTCCGTTTTTTCTTCTTCCTTTTCCATTTGCCATGATGAGTAAATCTGGTCAATCAAAAGGTCAGTATAGTGGTCAGTCTTCATCTTACATTTGAGCGTTTGCTGGTTATTGTTCCCAAATCATTTGGTCCGCTCAGTTAATTAGAGATATTTCCTTTCGACAACGTTTGCTTTGCAAACTCTAGGTCGCAGCTAATGTTTCTTGCATCCTTCTAGTTGATACCGCAGCTTCACGTCGTTTCACCACGGTCAGAAATTCAACCATCGTGGTCGCGAAGATTTTGTTCTGTTCGTTTATGTTGAATAAACTGGTTTAAGGACCATCTTGGCAGCAAAAGTGCAGGTATTGTTCTCCGCCAACCCCCGTCTTATGGGCGGAAGGTAAGGATAGGCTACCAACTCAGACCACCTCACCGTGCATTTACTCCTGTGGAGCAGGTTATCTTGGTCATGCGAGTCGACACCTATCCACAAGAATACGATGAGCACCTGCAACATCGTTCATTCTAACTGAACGTGGCTTTCGATATGTCGGCTGTCCTACGGCAAATTGTCAGCATATAGTCATTAAATCCCTGGCTTCATTCCTAACACGCCAAAAAATACTGAAATATTGTCCCTCTACGTGTCAACCGCGCAGGTTTTATTATCTCACCTTGACTTACACCAGACGTTAACGATTACTTCTTGGTCCGCTGTGTTTGAAACATTACGTCTGCATTTTGTCCTACTGTAAAAGTCGAATTCTAACGCCGATTAATGTATTTGGCAATCTCTCTCCGCTGCGACGCCAATAAAAACAATATTTTGCTATTGGCGCTCAAGAATCTCATCTGTACTTCAAAGCCTATGGGGAATGAAGTATCTACATGAATCAACTCAGAGTCTCGTCCACGCTGCTAGTTTGCGGCTGCCCACGAAATTGCCTGCGTAGGAATGACCTCGAATGCTCGCTGTCCACCAGTAATGCCCATTTCGATTCGTTTTTCACAAATTTTTCCCAATTCCCAAGTATTCTTCCCTTAGTTTGAGGTAAATATGCAGTCCACTTCGCTCTCGAGTCTTCTACATAAGCGCAGATGACGTCGTGAGAGTCACTTTGCTTTGGGGTGGTCGCTGGTTTATGTGTTCTATTAAAACTTATTAGCCAACAAAGCGCTCAAAGCGGATAAAAAGCTCATGTCAAAAGATGCGTGCTTCCAGCCTTATGTTATTGTCAGAAAACAGAATGTTAATAAAATTGCTTTTTCGCAGAACCTGGGCGGCTTTCTTTCAAGCTGATGAAG